GTCTTCAAGTCGCCAAATTTGAAAAACACTGCTTTAGACTAACATACTTGCAACTCCAGTGCATAATTTCAGTCCAATCCTGCCCGGTTTCTGCAGCTTTCACCATTTCCACGGACCCCACTGCCCCTTCCCTGGCCTAGTTCTCCCCCCCCCTGCACCCCCCCTCTCACCTGCTCCCCCACTCTGTGAGCAATGACCGTTGCGCCTTCCTCCAACTCGGCTTCGTTGATGGGACGGATGCGGAGAGCCACCTGCAAGCGAGAACGAGAATCGGCCTTTCCGGAACGCAGGGATTCCTGCAAGGTGCACCCCTGGGATTTCTGCTCAGCCCCTGGGTGCCCAGGGGCTGTTCAAGGTGCCCATTTCCAAAGCAGTGGCGTGTCCCCTTTCCGGGGGGTGAGGTGGGGGGTGGAATTGTCTTGCATGCATTTCATCACATGAAGAAACCCGGAGAGTGGGGTAAAGCACAAGCGTCAGGTGAGTTTTAGTATTTCAGTGGGTGCTCGCCCCGCGCACATTGATATCCAGCATGGAATGGATGCTGAGCCCGTGGGGAGGCTTTGATGTGAGCCCCCCCCCAATTTAAAGGAACCAGCAATTCACAGGGGTGGGGGTGATGGGGAAGGACAGGAGCGGTGCCTCATCAGCTCTGTAGCACTTACCATCAGCTGGTGTTCTGCTCCCAGATCCTTCATCGTAGCTGAACCCCCCGAAAGCCCCTTCCTCTGGGCTGCACCAGGGGACGTGGAGGGTGACAAGGCACCCATTAGGCACGCCGCAACGAAGCAATTTGCAAAAAGAGTGGCTCCGTGAAGGGAGGGGGAACAGGAGCAGCAGCCTGCAAGGGGAAAATCTGCATTTTCCCTGGGGAGAACAGGTGATGCAAATGAAGACGGAGGCGCAGGGAGCCAAAGGAGGAAGGTTCAGCGCCAATCAAAAGGGGCCTTTTTAACTGGCCACGTTGAACCCCCGGGATTTGCTGCCACTGAACGTGACAGCTGTGAACTTAGAGGGATAGTCTGAAATCCACCCGTGACAAAGCGTTCAAGTCTATTCATCTGGCATTGCTGCTCTACTGGCAGATTTCAATGGGAGTTCAGCAGGGCCAACCTACCGAGCACATCTCTAAACATGCACAACATACCACAAAGACAACACTACAATAATTCAACTTAATGCCCCCATTTCATGTTAAGAGGGATTTTTAGGTCTGGGAAAGCTCCCAGATGCGATCCTTCACTTTCTGCAAAGAAGCCAAGCTTCAGGAATGGTTTACTGTGTGCTGCTCCCTGAAGATCGAGAGAGAAACTGCCAGGAACACATGGGGAAATCCTCTAGTAACTCCAGCGTCAAGTATTATGTTGAAATAAAGACGTTTAAGGGTCTACAAAGTTTATTAGAAAAACGAAGTCTCTTACTTGCTGGGGCCCTAAAGGAATAAACACTTGATCTCAATTGATTTAGGACTGACGCTGTCAGAGCTCCTAAGTGTGAGATATATGCCTAATTGGTATTATCTAAGCCAGTGTTTCTCAACCTTGGCAAGTTTAAGATGGGTGGAGTTCAGCTCCCAGAATTCCCCAGCCAGCCCTGCTGGCTGGAGAATTCTGGG